AGAGCCATGCAAGGAGCCAGCCGGGGACCGCACGCCACCAGCATCCCTTAGACCTCACAGCCGGTCGGCGCGGCGGTGGTGTGGACGGGGCTCAGCCTGCGCCCGCTGCTCGCAGGTTATCAGGAGCTGCCGGAGAGCTGCCAGATAACTGCCGGGGCGGGATCCGGACCTGCAGCCTGGAGGTGCAAGGCTTGGGGAGACGAAGTGGGGGATGTAAATCTCCTGATCTGTCTGTGAGTGAATTCAAAGGGAGACCGATTCAAATCCGCCATGACATGACTGGCTCGGGGCTGGCAGACAATCCCTGCAGTGTTTGTAACAAATCTTGCTGCTTTCCTTTGAGTGGCCTCCAATTTATTAATTAAAACAGGCAATTATATATAATGTGGGGTGGAGGGGAGCGGGGAGACCAGCTGCACCAGTTATTCTCACTTGGCAGGAACCGTGCTGGAAAGCTGCTCCGGCTCCAGGAGGTGCTTGTGCTTTCAAGGGCTCGAGGCAGAGCCTGGGACGGAGCCCATGCTCAGAGCTGCCCCCGGATCCCCCGCCTGGCACGGCCGGGCCTGGACAGCCAGGCAGTGAGTGGGCTTTAGCTACAGCGACCGCTTTATTTAAGAGCGCAGGGCGCAGAGGCCAAGACCTTTTAGAAAATGACTTGCCCGAGTCACCAGGGAGTTGGCAGCAGAGATGGAAGCTGCACCCAGTGTTGCCAGGATCTGCTGAAAGCGCTGGCTGCCCCCGGCCCCGCAAGGCAGGAGCTGGAGAGAGAAGCCAGGTCCTTTTTTAAGCGTCGCTGTCCATCCCTCCGTGCTCATCAATAGGAAACACGACAAGCCAGAGACCCCAGGCTTCAGCAGAGCACGACGAGCGTGGTGCCAACGGAGGGCGAGTGCCATCGGCAACACGCCCGTGCAATGCCACGGCTGCGTGCGGCAACACCTGCGTGTCTGGGTTTACTCGAACGCTGCGGATCCCGTGTCAGCAAACTGGCAGAATTTACCTAGAGCCCTCAGTGCTCCCTGCAGGACACGCCGGCGTGGGGCCGGCCCCAGCGATGGGCTCCTCTGCCTACTGACCACCGGGATAC